TGATAAGTCTCACAGACTCACATTGTACCCAGCCATTGTGTTTCCATCAAAACTGGGAGCCATCACACCGATGCACTGGCTGAGATGGAGTCTCAGAAACTTTTTTTTGCCTAGGCTGGCCTCTAACCTTAATACCCCAATCACTACCTCCTAAGTAGTTGGGGGCTGGGGATATGACTTAGTGGTAGAGTGCTTGCCTATCATGCACAAAGCCCTGGGTTCGATTTCTCAGTACCACATACACAGAAAAAGCCAGAAGTTGTGCTGTAGCTCAATTGGTAGAGTACTAGCCTTGAGCAAAAAAACTCAGGGACAGTGTTTAGGACCTGAGTTCAAGCCCCAGGACTGGCAAAAAACCCCCCACAAAAACAACTAAGTAGTTGGGATTGTAGGCTTAGCTACCATGTCTGGTGTCTCCTAAGTTGTTTTTTTTTTTTTAACTTTGGATACTCTAGAGAACTCAAAGCCTTGTGCATATTTGGCAAGCACTCTACCACTGAGTTACACCTCCAGCCCTATATACGCTTGTTTTAAATTGGATGTGAGCCATTGTGAATTTTACCCTACTTGGGCTGGATGTTTATGTGCTGCTATAAATGTTCTGCTGTATTCCGAGAAGTTAATTTATCTGAAAGCAGTTTGATCCTTTTAGATATTGCTTTTAAATCTAATTAGGCAGAGCCAGAGTAGCTTTTAGTCTGGAACTAAGTTTAGCTGCCTTGTTCAGGTAAAAAACCTTTTAAGTACTCATCTCAATTCCTTGTCAGTTATGAGGCTTTGCATTCTAGCTGTTAGAAACAGAAACTATTTTCAACCTTCTAAACTCTAAGGACTATTCAGTTCACTCTGGTGGTTCTTTGTGTAGCTTTGTGTCCTTACTTGCATGAGCTGAGCTAGGACTCAGCTAAAGGCTCAAGCTGAATATTGCATAGCTCTGGGCTTTTTCCCTTCCCATGTAGCTTTCTTCTCTGGCACCTACCACTATAGTCTCCAGCTCCCTTGGTCTCCTGGGATCCTAGAGATCTCTCCTTGACCTTGACCTCCTACCTATGGCCTCCTACATAGCTGGGATCACAGACTTATACCACTATGCTCAGCTCATTGATTGAGATTAGTGCCTCACTAACTTTTTTCCCAGGTTGGCCTTGAATCATGACCCTCCCAGTCTCACCTAAGTAGCTGGGATTATAGGAATGCACCTCTGCCAGTGGCGTTCTGTTGTGTTTCTTGTAAATTACTCTTCTATTTTAAAATGGTTTTCTCTTGGGGCTGGGAAGGTGGCTCAGTGGTAGAGTGCTTGCTTTGCATGCATATGGCCCTGGGTTTCATTCCTTGGCACCACATAAACAGAAAAAGCCAGAAGTCGCTGTGGCTCAAGTGGTAGAGCGCTAGCCTTGAGCTGAAGAGCTGAGGGACAGCAGCCAGGCCCAGAGTTCAGGCCCCACAACTGACAAAAAAAATAATGGTTTTCTCTTACTGCTATTTCCTAATATCTATCATCATTTCTGAGTTTTTCCAGCAGTTTCTCTGTTATTCTTTCATTGTCTTATGTCATTTTCTTTTCTTTTTTGAGCTCTTCAGCTCAAGGCTACAGCTCTACCACTTGAGCCACAGTGCTACTTCCAGTTTTATGGTGGTTAACTGGAGATAAGAGTCTCAGCCTTTCCTTCCTGGGCTGGCTTTGAACCATGATCCTCAGATCTCAGCTTCCTGAGTAGCTAGGATTACAGGTGTGAGCCACCAGTGCCTGGTTCATTTTCTTTTCTTGTTTGTTTGTTTTTTTGTTGGCTGTGGTACTTGAACTCTGGGCCCGGGCACTGTCCCTTAACTCTTCAGCTCAAGGCTAGTGCTCTACCACTTGAGCCACAGCACTAATTCCGGCTTTTTCTGTTTATGTGGTGCTAATTGAACCCGGAGCCTCATGAATATGAGGCAAGAAGCATTCTACCACTGAGCCACCTTCCCAGCCCCTTATTGCCATTGTCATAATGTCTTTCAGCTGCTCAAATAAGGTGGCTCTAGTTTTTATTTGTTCTGTGAACATGTCCTTCTGGCATACTTTTATTATCTCTAACAATGGTGGTTCTACCCCATATTCTTCCATTCTTAGAGCAATAGTGTATAGGATTTGCCTTCTGTACATTTTTTTTATTGCTCTTCTTTATATCAAATTAGATTTCTGAACTTTCTGAAGGAGGTAGGTAGTTCAGGGTAACTTCTCAAATGTCAGAGCTCCCTCTTCTGTTATATTTGCATAGTGCTAAAATTAAGGAAGTTTATTTCTGCGTTTTCTTGGCCATGTTCCCTCACTTTGATATGAACATTCCCTCTTTTTTATTTTTTTTGCTAGTCATGGTACCTGAACTCTGGGCCTGGTCACTGTCCCTCAGCTCTTCAAGGCTAGCGCTCTACTACTTGAGCCACAGCACCACTTCCAGCTTTTTCTGCTTATGTGGTGCTGAGGAATCGAACCCAGGGCCTCATGCATGCAAGGCAAGCACTCTACCACTGAGCCACCTTCCCAGCTCCATTCTCTCCTCTTTTTGAGGTAAACCCCTTCTCCTACTCCCCCCCCCAAAAATCTGTGCCCTAACCCAATGTTGCCATATGGCCAAAAGGTGACTTTTCAATGATAAAAAAGATTTTGAGATAGAGAGACAGCACATAGGGCCCTCCTGGAAATAGGAAATGGCACAAATGTGAAGAGTGAGGAAGATTCAAATGATGTGTCACAAGCCAAGGCAAGGCATCACCAATCAGAAACTGAAGCATCAAGGAATGGGTTCTCCCTTAAAGCTTCTGGAAGGAGCATAGCCCTTCCAACACCTTGATCTTAGATCATTGATATTGATATTGGATTTATTCATCTATTCCTATTGTAAAAAATACACTTCTGTTATTTTAAGCCACCAATGTGGTACGTCACAGTAGCAATAGGAAACTAATGCAGAGTTCGGTACTAGAAGTGAGATGTTACCGGAACAAATACCTCAAAGTGCAGAAATGGTTTTGAAACAGGCTGATCAGATAATAGTTGGAGGCTAGAAGCATGCTAAGGAAGATGATTAGAAGGGGTTCCTGTTTGATTGCCTAGAACATTCTGTTGGTGGAAATATGGGTATTGAAGGCACTGGTTGGTAAGGAGAGATAAGTGAAAAATGTAGGAGAGAAAGTTTGTCATATTAGAAGTCATATGTCATGATCATAAGCAGAAAGTTGATGTAAATATGACCAATACGGGTGATCAGCACAAAACCCAGGGGAGAAGATACGGGAAGAGCCCTATACTATGAAAACCATACTCCTTGCAAAAGTTCTCCATTGGACTTCTCTTTGAGGCTCCACTTGGAATGGAGAGCTCCTTTCTTTCCCAGCTTTCCTTTCACTTTCAAATAAACTTCCTCTGCTTACCTTAGAAAAAGATATTGCTGGTGAGTGCTCAGTAGGAAATATGGTACAGTTACTAGAAACTGGAAAAGTCTGGTGTTGGTGACTCATGCCTCTAATCCTAGCTACTCAGGAGGTTGAGATCTGAGGATCAGGATTCAAGGTTAGAAAAATCCTTGAGACAGGGCTGGGAAGGTGCTCAGTGGTACAGTGCTTGCCTTGCATGCATGAGACCCTGGGTTTGATTCCTCAGCACCACATAAGCAATAAAGAAATAAAGCCGGAAGTGGTGCTATGGCTCCAGTGGTAGAACGCTAGTCTTGAGCTGAAGAGCTAAAGGACAGTGCCCAGGCTCAGAGTTCAGGCCCCACAGCCAGACCCACCCCCACCCCCCCAAAAAAAGAAAAATCCTTGAGACACTTTTGTTTGCCTTTATTGGGGCTTGAACTCAGGGCTTAGGTGCTATCCTTTAGCACCTAAGAATCTCAAGTCTACCCAGTCCTTTTACTTTCTCTTTTTCTTTCCTTTTGTGTGCCATTATTGGAGTACTGGGGCTTGAACGCAGGCCTTGTACTCTGCCTTGACTTTTCTTTCTTTTTTTTGGGGGGGGGGTCCGGTCGTGGGGCCTGAACTCTGGGCCTGGGTGCTGTCCCTCAGCTCTTCAGCTCAAGGCTAGCGCTCTACCACTTGAGCCACAGCACCACTTCCGGCTTTTTTCTTTTTGCTTATGTGGTGCTGAGGAATTGAACCCAGGGCTTCATGCATGCAAGGCAAGCGCTCTACCACTGAGCCACCTTCCCAGCCCCTTTTTTTTATTTTGTCGGTCATGGGGCTTGAACTCTGGGCTTGGGCGCTGTCCCTGCATTCTTCACCTCAAGGCGAGTGCTCTACTGCTTGAGCTACAGTGCCACTTCTGGTTTTCTAGTGGTCTAATGGAGATAAGAGTCTCATGGACTTTCCTGCCCGGGCTGGCTTTGAACCATGGTCCTCAGATCTCAGCCTCCTCAGTAGCTAGGATTACAGGCATGAGCCACCAGCGCCCAGCTTGTCTTGACTTTTTCAGTCAAAGCTGGCACTCTACCACTTGAGCCATAATCCCATTTCCAGCTTTTTGCTAGTAAGTTGAAGAGAGTCTCATGAATTTTTCTTTTTTTTTCTTTTTCTTTTTTTAGTTTAATGTATTTTAATAGCAAACTTACAGGAAAAGCACAGAAGACAGACAACATTAAAAACATGAACTTGCATGTAGGACAACTCAGTTAGAAAAGTGGAGTGAACGGATGGAATCTACTAGTATGATAAAAATGCTACAAACACCATTTAGTTGCCATCAATAAGAAATTTACTTATTTTTAAAAAATCCAAATGCTGGCATTGTCCAGAAAAATTTAACAGATTTATAATTGTTATAAAGTTGAACTGCATTAATGCTTTATATCCCCACAGTTATATTAAAAATTCACACACAAATGAAAATGGAAAAACTGCCAATACCTGATTTCTGTCCCCTATTTTTCCACTGGCAATCATATACTTAGGTACCTTTTGACCCCATGGGGGAAAAAAAAAATCTAACATTCAGAACTACTGATAACAAGAAAAGGCGGGGGAGGGGGGGGGGGGAGGGGGGGATTTTGAGAATGAAATGCCTCCCATTTTAGTGGATTCTTAAGCACGTTCTCCACGTATGCGGCGTGCTAGCTGGATATCTTTTGGCATAATTGTCACATATTTGGCATGGATAGCACACAGATTGGTATCTTCAAAAAGGCCAACGAGATAGGCCTCACTTGCCTCCTACAAAGCACCAACAGCTGCACTCTGGAAGCGCAGGTCTGTTTTGAAGTCCTGAGCAATTTCTCGCACCAGACGCTGGAAAGGGAGCTTGCGAATCAGAAGTTCTGTGCACTTCTGGTAGCGTCTCATTTCACGGAGCACCACAGTACCAGGCCTGTAGCGGTGTGGCTTCTTCACCCCTCCGGTGGAGGGCGCGCTCTTGCGCGCGGCCTTGGTCGCCAGCTGCTTCCTGGGCGCCGTGCCCCTGGTGGACTTGCGGGCGGTCTGCTTGGTGCGAGCCATAGCGGAGCGGCCTCAACCCCCCCACCCCCCTTCTCCTTTGGCTGGAGCTCGGCGAACGGGAGACTCTTATTTTCAACTAATGATCAAGAAGCTGTAAGTGAAGCTGTGACCCAAGTGGGTAGAGCACCAGCCTTGCAAGAAAAAGAGGGGCTGGGAATATGGCTTAAAGGTAGAGTGCTTGCCTGGCATACATGAACCCAGGGTTTGACTCCTCAGTACCACATAAACAGTAAAGGCTGGAAGTGGCACGGTGACTTAAGTGGTAGAGTGCTAGCCTTGCACAAAAGCAGCTCAGGGACAGTGCCCAGGCCCTGAGTTCAAGCCCCAGGACTGGCAAAAACAAGAAAGAAAAAGATAGTGGGTAGCACCCAGGTCTTGAGTTCAAGATCCAGTACAAAAATAACAAATTACATTGAGGATATTGTTGCTGCTAGTTTCCTTGTAAATGTTGTCCTTGGGCTTTGATTTTGCACTCTGGTTGCTGTCTGTACATTATCATAAGATTTTACTTATTTATTTGTCAGTCATGGGGCCTGAAATCTGGGCCTGGGCACTGTCCCTGAGCTCTTCAGTTCAAGGCTAGCACTCTACCACTTGAGCCACAGCACCACTCTGGCCTTTTCTGCTTATGTGAGGCTGAGGAATTGAACCCAGGGCCTCATGCATTCAAGGCAAACACTCTAGAACTGGGCCACCTTCCCAGCCTTTAATTATTTATTTATTTTTGGGTCCGGTCGTGGGGCCTGGACTCTGGCCTGGGCGCTGTCCCTCAGCTCTTCAGCTCAAGGCGAGTGCTCTACCGCTTGAGCCACAGTGCTGCTTCCAGTTTTCTAGTGGTTTATTGGAGATAAGCGACTCACAGACTTTTCTGCCTGGCTGTTTCACTTTTATTAGTGATTCCAAATGATTCATTTTTGCAACAACCCTCTCTCATCATGGAAATAAACACCGCAACCCCTTTTTCTTTCTATCAAATCATATAATGAATACTGTTTTTAAAAGATTAATTTTTAGCCAGGCGCTGATGGCTCATATTGTTAATTCTAGCTTTCAGGAAGCTGAGATCTAAGGATTGAGATTCAAAGCCAGCCCAGGCAGCGTAATCTCTAATTCATTACCAAAAAGCAGGAAGTGGTGTTTTGGCTCAAGTGGGAGCAATAAAGCTCAGGAGCAGTGGCCAGGACTTGAGTTCAAGCTCCAGGAACAGCACACAAATACAAAAATAATTTTTGCCAAGTGCCAGTGGCTCATGCTTGTAGTCCTAGCTACTCAGTAGGTTTTGATCTGAAGAGTAAGATTTAGAGGCCATCCCAGGTAGGAAAGTCCAAGAGATGCTTATGTTCAATTAACCACCAAAAAGCTGTGGCTCAAGTGGTAATGTGCTAGTCTTGAGTAAAAGAAGCTCAGAGAAGCTGGGCACCAGTGGCTCATGCCTGTAATCCTAGCTTCTCAGGAGACTGAGATCTAAGAATCACAGTTCAAAACCAGCCCGGGCAGGAAAGTCCGTGAGACTCTTATCTCCAATAAACCACTAGAAAACCAAAAGTGGCTCTGTGGCTCAAGCAGTAGGGCGCTCACCTTGGGCTAAAGAGCACAAGGACAGCGCCCAAGCCCTGAGTTCAAGCCCCACGGCCAACAACAACAACAACAACAACAAAAAGCTCAGAGACAGCACCCAGTAATTGAGTTTAAGCCCCAGTACTGGCATACAAACAAAAAAAATATGTTTTAAACCAGAGCATGAGAAGAAAGAAAGATTTCCAGGTGCTGGTGGCTCATACCTGTAATTCTAGCTACTCAGGAGGCTGAGATCTGAAGATCATGGTTTGAAGCCAGCCTAGGCAGGGAAGTCTGTGAGACTCTTATCTACAAATAACTACCAAAAAGCAGGAAGTGGAACTGTGACTCAAGTGGTAGAGGATTAGCCTTAAGGAAAAGAAGCTAAGCAACAGTGCCTAGGTGCCAAGTTCAAGCCCCAGTACACACACACACACACACACACACACACACACACACACACACACACACACACACACCCTCTCTCTCATGAGTGCGCACATGTGCATGCAAATGCACGCACGCATGCATGTGTGCGTGAGGGTGCACACACACACACACACACACACACACACACACACACACACACAAACACACAAACAAACAAACAAGAAAAAAACTATTGCAGATCCAGGAGCCAATGGCTCATGCCTGTAATCCTACATACTCTGAGGATTCAGTTCCAAGCCAGCCTGGACAGAAAAATCTGAGAGTCTCTTTTTTTGGGGGGGGGGGGCCCAGTTGTGGGGCTTGAACTCTGGGCCTGGGTGCTGTCCCTCAGCTCTTCAGCTCAAGGCCAGCGCTCTACCACTTGAGCCACAGTGCCACTTCCAGCTTTTTTCTTTTTGCTTATGTGGTGCTGAGGAATCGAACCCAGGGCCTCAGGCATGAAAGGCAAGTGCTCTACCACTGAGCCACCTTCCTAGCCCTCTGTGAATCTCTTCTGTCCAATTAAGCAGTAAAAAGCCAGAAGTGAAGGTGTGACTTAAGTGGTAGAACACCAGCCTTGAGTGAAAAAGACAAGCCAGAAAGTGAGGCCCTGAATTTAGGTCCCATACTATGTGTGTATGTACACACACAAACTATCTTAGAATAGAAGCTTTGGGTGAATTTTTTTTGTTGGTCTTGGGGCTTGAACTCTGGGCTTGGGCACTATCCCTGAGCTCTACAACTCAAAGCTACTGCTCTACTACTTGAGCCACAGTGCCACTCCTGGTTTCCTGGAGGTTAATTAGAGGTAAGAGTCTCAGGGACTGTCCTGCCTGGGCTGGCTTTGAACCTTGATCCTCAGATCTCAGCCTCCTGAGTAGCTAGGATTACAGGCATGAGCTACCAGTGTCCGGCTGGGTGAAATTATTAGTGTGGTTAATGTAGCAATAGAAAAAAAAATATGTTTCAGTGCTGGGAACGGCACTTAGAATCTTACATTCTAAGCAAACATTCTGCTACTGAGTTATATCCCCAGTCCTCAATAGAGAAGAACTGAATCATGCTTATAAGGAATGGAATAATCAGAAAAACTCATAAGCAGAGATGATCTTCCAACTCACTACAGGACAGGGAAGGGGAAGGAAAAGAAACTTGATAGAGCCATCCAGGATCAGGAAAATTGGTTAGGAAAGAACAACAAAGCTGAAACAAGGATTAAACAAGGAGACAAAGTTGAAACAAGGAAACTAAATCCAAAGGGAGACACAAAAGCAGGCATATAATTGATAAATTGTATTAAAATATCAAAATCTATGAGTTGTATAGTTAGTAAAACACACTGAAAATAAAGAGGTAAAACTAAATATTGTGTCAGAATGTATCAGAAAATGCAAGTGGAATTAAAGTAGATTTGATGATACAATTATCAAGTCAAGATCCAAAGCCCAAAGCATTGAACAGATATAAAAGACAATGCATAATAATGAAGTGCACATTAGGTGAATTAGCTAAAATATGTTTTTGTTTTGTTTTGTTTTGGGTCCAGTCATGGGGCCTGAACTCTGGGCCTGGGCGCTGTCCCTTAGCTCTTCAGCTCAAGGCTAGCGCTCTACCACTTGAGCCACAGCGCCACTTCCAGCCTTTTTCTTTTTGCTGATGTGGTGCTGAGGAATCAAACCCAGGGCCTCATGCATGCAAGGCAAGCGCTCTACCACTGAGCCACCTTCCCAGCCCTAGATAAAATATGTATAAATCATTGTACAAATAACTACAGCAAAAATTTATAGAAATATAATGAAACCTCAAAATGAAGTCAGGCACTGGTAGCTCATGCCTGAAATCCTAGCTACTCAGAAGACTGAGATCTGAAGATAACAGTTCAAAGCTAGCTCAAGAAGAGAAGTCTGTGAGACTCATATCTCCAATTAACCAGCAAAAATTCAGAGGTGAAGCTGTGGCTCAAATGGTAGAACACCAGCCTTGAGCAAAATTGCCAAGTCTAAGCTGGGTGCTGGTGGCTCACACTTGTAATCCTAGCTACTCAGAAGACTGAGATCTGAGGATGGTGGTTCAAAGCCAGCCTAGGCAGTAAAGCCCATGAGACTCTTATCTCTAACCACAAAAAAACTGGAAGTGAAGCTGTGACTCAAAGTAGTAGAGCACTATTCTTTAGCAAAAATGCTCAGGGACATGCCCAGGCCTTGAGATCAAACCCTAGGACCAAAACCAAAAACCAAAAACCAAAACCAAAACCAAAGAAAAACAAAACAAAGAAAAGGAAAAAAAGCCAAGTGAGAACATAAGACCCTGAGTTCAGGTCCTAAATACCTCCCCACCCCCCGCCCCCAAAATCCCCAAATCAAAATTTATTCTGAGAAGTTATAACTTCCTTACAATATGATATACCATATTAACAAAAACAATTAAAGTTTAAAAAGAATCCAGGTGTGATGACTCATTCTAGCTACTTGAGGCAGAGACCTGGGGATCAAGGTTTGAGGCCAGCCCTGGGCATAAAAGTTGGCAAGACTCCATTTCAACCAATGACTGGTTGCATTGCCACAGCCTGACATTGAGAAGCACAAATCAAAAGGATTTCAGCTCAGGCTAGCCCAGGCATAAAGTAAGATCCTTTGTCAAAAATACCAACTTCTTTTAAGGGGCTGGAGGTGTGATTCAAGTAGTAGAGTGTCTACCTTGCCAGAGGGTAATTCTGACTTCAACCTCTAGTATCACAGAAAGTAGAGGGAGAACCACATGATTATCTCTATTGATGCAGAAAAGGCTTTTGACAAATACAATACCCATTCGTGTTAAAAGCTCTGGAGAAAATAGGAATAGAAGGAACATTCTTTTTTTTGAAGTTATTTTTGCATATTCATTTATGTGCATTTTGTGAATTTTTTATTGTGAAAATAATATACAGAGGGGTTACAATTACATGAGCAAGGTAATGAGTACATTTCTTATCAAGCATTGTTGCCTCCTCCATTGTTTCCCATCCCTTCCTATCC